AAAAAAAAAAAAAAGAAAAGAAACTCAGGTGTAGGGGCTGCAAAGAACCCAAGACTTGGTCCCAGCTCCCTTCCCTTGGAATCAGCTGGGAGAGAAATGGTTTCACTCTATGACACTGCATCTCTGGTTCACATTAAAAAATATTATCATCTTATTTGCATGAATAAGAGAGTGTGTGTATGTGTACACACGCACACGTGTGCGTTTGCAACCTCAGGACACTCAGATAAAGACCCTTAGAGAGTGGGTCAGGGAAGGGCATAAGGACCCTCTAGGCCAGTGGAGAGTCGAATGGAGATCTCGGAGTGGACGTTGAGAGACCTAAATCCTAACCCTAGCTCTGCTGACTCACTACAACCAAGTGTGAGGCATTTACGCTAGATGGGCCTCAGTTCTTCTATGCAGGAACGAGAGATTAAAATGCTTGTTATGAGGGCACTAGGTAGATGAACTAAGACTTAAAGCTCCTTGGAGCCAGGTGCCATTATTTGTTCCCAATGCGTTACGTGGGAAGCCCTGACATTCAAAGCAGAACTCCTGGGCCTGTAATCTTCAGTTCCACACAGAGCAGGGGAGTGGGTGTTGACAGTATGACTGAAAAGCCCAGCACAGGGCTGGCCCAGGCAGGAAGGCAAGGAGGGAACTCTGGCTGGCTGTCATAAAGCCCAAGAGACAAAGTACAGCTTTCTAAGGAGGTGGTTATCAACTAGCAATCAGTAAATCAGCTCTCAAAGGAGAGGGGAGGGACAGGGTAGCTTCCAGGCTGGCAGGGGAACAGGGACTGACACCGGAAAAGGATTATGAGTATCGTAGCGTCCAGAAACAAACAGAGCAAAGGCAGTGTTATAGGGCCAAGAGTACTGGATACCTGACTCTGATGTCTTGAGTTTATCTGCTGACCTTGACCCTTGATAGAAAAGCCCTCATAAGGTATAAGCCTTTACAGATCATATGTTATGTCATTTGACCTTTATAACAACCTGTTAGTACTATTCCTATTTTACAGATTAGGAAACAAACTCAGAGCAGCTAAAGTAACTCAGCATTCACAC